GCTGTAGTGTGAGCTGGGAGTAATGGGGAAGCAGTGGGAGAGGGTGCAGCTGGGTAGCACCTGCACCTGCCTTATTCAAACAGGGCTTATTCAAACATTGCAGCTTTGAAGAAAAAGACACCCCACATGGTTAACACTGACTATTGCTCAGCAAACCAACTCACAAGGGTCACAGGCTGGCCACTATGGCTGCATGTCCAGGGTGGGGAAACATACAATCTGGGGACCATATCCAGCCCCCAGTTTGCCTGGATCTGGGCCCTCAATGCTCAGGAATCCCCATCCCCCCAGCATGCGGCAGTGAGGCTAGCATTCTAGCCCTGCAGCCCTCTTCCTGCCTAGACCCCAAACACCCCACTCCACTCCTGCAACTAGGGTTACCAGGAGTCCAGCTTTGACCCGGACAGTCCAGTATTTGAGCTTCCTGTTGCAGAAACAAATTGAGAAAATATAAATGAGACTATATATAGGTCTGGTATTTTCTAAGTAAGATGTCATGTAGACTGTGATCTTAGTGTCAAGTGTGGCCGGTATTTTTGTTGAAACCATCTGGCAACCCTACCTGCACCCTCCCTCCCAGACCCAACACCCAAAGCCTGCTGCATAGCAGTTCCCTCCCACATGAAACCCCTCATTTTTGGCCCCCCAGAGCATTGGAGGGCATAAGATCTACTATCCTGGGGCCCCTAGACTCTGGTGTGCAAGGAGAATGTAGGGAGTGTCTTCCTCCTCAGGTGGGAGCCACATCCATGAGGATTTGTTTTTGGTGAGATGTTTGCCCCTCCCTTCTCACGTTTGCTGCCCCTGATTGATTTTTCTGGGGATCAGCAGCTCCCTGGCCCTAAAAAGATTCCACGACCCTGACAATGTCTGAACAGTACTCTCGCAGCAGCATGTCCTTCACTTGCCGACTAAGCCAGAAGGGATGACTGAAGGGAGACCACTGAAAGCTGGGAAATAAAGAAAGGCAGAAAATGCAAGTTATTTTGACAAAATGGAAAAAAAAAAAACCCTCCACTTTGTAACTTGCCAATGAAAATTTTTCAGTTTTGAAAGCCCCCTGGAAATATTTCCATTTCCTGTACAAACTTTTGAGTTTCAGAAAAACTGATTTGACAAGACCAAAAAACCCCACCTAGAATCACCCTTAAGTCTCCCCAATCAAATCCACATGCCGTTCCC